GTTGTGGGGCTGTCTTGGTTGACACGTCTCTGCAGCATCGCGTGGCAGTCCGGGACAGTAGCCCTGGAATGGCAGACCGGGGTGGTGGTCCCTCTTTTCAAAAAGAGGGACCGAAGGGTGTGTTCCAACTATCGGGGATCACACTCCTCAGCCTCCCTGAAAAGTCTATTCCAGAGTACTGGAGAGGAGAATCTGGCCGATAGTCGAACCTCGGATTCAAGAGGAACAATGCGGTTTTAGTCCTGGTTGTGGAACGCTGGACCAGCTCTATACCCTCCACAGGGTGCACAGGGTTCATGGGAGTTTGCCCACATGTTTTGTGGACTTGGAAAAGGCCCTTGACATTCACAGTCAATTAATAATAAACAACGGGTAGAAAATGAAGCTGTATAAATTAATTCCTTCATAAAAATGTTTTGACAAAAAATAATCAAGAGTACATTTAAAGGATTCTACAGGATTTGTTGAGACTATATGATTTAATATGATTTTAAGTATAATAAGCAAATGGCTATGGTGTGTGTCCATTTATTTCCTTCGTTTAACCATATAAATAACACAGACATTTGTCTGTTACCAGTGTTTCCCTTTTCATCGTCTCTGATGTGAAAGACTTTCTGAACAGTTGGCTGCTCCAGCAGGTCTCGCAGCTCCTCCCTGTACAGCTCCAAGTAAGACACCCACACTGTAGTCTCCATGTTGTCAGTGTTTCTCTTCTTCTCTTCCAAAAACAAGAACAAATCCTGAGCCACACGGTCAACAATTCCTCCCTCTTCGTCTATGAGAATTTGTAAAAGGAGTAGAAAAAAACAAAAAAAATATTTATCTCTGATTTCTGATGGACATAGTTATCTTCCATATACAGCAGTAGATCTAAAGCTGTGGTTTGCTGTGACCCATTCTTGAAGAATGTAATCATTCAGAGATATTCCTTTACTAGTATAATAAAATTATGATTATATTTATTATTCTTTTTAAAAAATATCTCCTTCGTTCCACACTGCTACAATGGGAGTCTTTTCTTCTTCATTTGCTACATTGTATTGTAGTGATGTGTCGTTCGCAAGTGATTCATTCAAAATGAACGAATCTTTCATATGACTCGTGACTCCCGAGTCATATGAAATATTTGTTCATATTGAACTCACGAATCACTCACAAATCACACTCTGCAAACTAATCACTCACTGCGAACAAATCACTCTCTGCGAACAAATCTATCACTACGAACGAATTATTCTCTGCAAACTAATCTATGGCTGTGAACTAATCTTTCACTACGAACTAATCTTTTACTGTGAATTAATCTTTCACTGTATATTAATCGTTCACTATGAACGAATTACTCTGCAAACTAATCTTTCACTGTGAACTAATCTTTCGCCGTGAACTAATCTTTCGCCGTGAACTAATCTTTCGCCGTGAACTAATCTCGTTAACTAATCTTTCGCCGTGAACTAATCTTTCGTTGTGAACGAATCTTTCGCTGTGAACTCATCACTATGAACGGATCATTCTCTGTGAACTAATCTTTCGCTTCATTCTCGCAGATTCGTTTAATTTGTCACGTGAAAGAGAACTCGGGTCTTTTGCTCTCATTCATCTTCACATTGTGGTGTGTTTTTATTTCTTAGCTTTTCGCATGGTTTTAATTGCTTATGACATTTTATGTACTTTGTAGACTTTGTCAGCGGAAGCAAACCACGTTGCTTCAGTATTTAGCGTCGGAGAACCTCAGCCTTCTTTACAACGCCCACAATAGGGCCAAAGCGCCACCTGCTGTAAAACGAATGAAATGATTAGTTTCGTTTCGTTCACGACTCGTTCATTTTACTGTTCGAGAGTCAAAGATTCGAATCAATAAAAATAGTCGGTCTTCCCATCACTATTGTATTGGTTAGTTTATTATCTTTATATATATATTTAATAGTATACGTGTTCATGTTAGAAATATAATTTAAAAATAAAAGATAACTTACCCGCTTCACCGCCTCCTCCCTCCAAAGTGTATGTTTTGCCTGAACCGGTTTGTCCGTAACAGAATACTGTGGCATTGTAACCAGTCAGCAGGTACTGGACCAGCGGCTGGACCGAGGACGTGTACACTTCATCCTGAGTGGCTGTGGGTCCCAAGGCGTGGTCGAAGGAAAACAGTCTGTCTGAGCCGAACATCACCTGAGTGCTGTCCGGCACCAACTGCACACACTCCCGATGTTTGTGGAGCTTCTCCCTTGGCCGAAGGGGGCGGATTCGAACCGCCACCCGGACAAACACCTCACTCATCATCACAAGGTCGCAGAGTCTGGATTACTTTAACAAAGCTATATTTTAAAAGATAATCGTTCATTTACGGTTAAACAACACCCAACACCTGCTGTTTAACGTGGTCCGTTCAGCTTCGGCAGTCACGTGGTTAAAAGTATCGAATCAACTCTTTGTTGTCCATACGCGGTTTCCAAGGAAACCAACAGCCGGGCTGAAGAAGTGTGAGGGCGGAAGTATTTACGTGACACAACAGCACCTTCGTCTGAATATCTAAACATGTAAATACCAGGCGTCTTTTATGTCTCACACTTCAGGGTCAAAAATAACTGAAGCAAACCGATGCGTTGAACATATTTTTAATGTACTCAAAGCCCAAGGTAAAGTGTCCAGTTAGGCTTCTGTAGCACACACAACTGCCATATCGTGCCTTTAAAAAAACAAACAAACAAACAAAAAAGTTCCTTAATGGTGTTATGTAGTGTGGATAAAACATATAACCAGCTTGATATATATATCCATGTTTAAGGAATTATAAAGGTGTGCTAAAACATATAACCAGCTTGAACATAAAATGCTGCTTAAAGCTAAAACTGAAAATATGCAGATGTAGAGAAAAGGAGCTGCAAGGTTGAGTTAAATTCACATAAACTATTTCTACCAAAACTGCTTTTATCCTAGATAAATTCCCAGTTACAGTAAATTTTAAACACAAGTGATATTTCAAATAAGAATCTACTGTTAACATGGAACTCTGCTCTGTTTGAAGGAGGAGGACGCGGGTGTGCGTTGGATCTCCGTGCTAACCAACGTGGCCGACCAGCTTTATTACCCCTGTGAACACATTGCATGGGCAGCTGATGCTGAGCTCATCAAAGTGAAGTCGGAAGAATGGTGGCTTTTCACCACAGTGCTGTGGGGGACCTCGCTGCTTCTGGGGATACTCAGGTGGGACTCCCTGTCTGTACCACACGTTAGGAGTCCAAGGAATAACCCGAGGCTGCGCTTTGACATAACTACTGACCTCTAATGGCCAGACTGCAAAGTACAACCAAATGTTGTGAGATTTAGGTTTAGCTTCGATTGCATTTTTGACCATTTAATTGCTACAAGTTTGGTTGATGAGTAGTTACTGATTATAATCGTTACAGTGGAAAACAACAATTAGCAGCCTAGCAGCTGCTGAAACTTTTTAAAGAGATATATATACAAAAGAAAACTAAGGTGTAAATATTTTTTTCCAGATCATTCCGAATTCTTCTGCTGATGAGGAAGCAGCTGAGGAGATCAAGGACAGACAGCATTATCAACGGGTGCTTTTTATGGAGATTTATTACCAAGTTTCAGTCTCTGCCTACACAGCGCTTTTCTAACACATTGATCTTTTTCCTTGTAGTCGTTTTCAGCTCCATAAACAGATGAGAGAGGAGTTTCTTTCCATTTTCAGTAAAACAGCGGATCTCTGTAACGCCATCCACTGGATGCCACCTGGTTTCCTGTGGGCCGGTCAATTCCCTCGATGGTTGGTGGGACTGATGGGAACAATCTCATCTGTGATTGGTTTAATGCAGATGAGCAGTGGCAATGGTGACTAGACAGCTCCAAAATGATGACAAAATAATTAAATAAATAAATGTGAATTCTGACAATAAAGCACAGTTTTAATGCAGATCAATTCTGAATGAAGGAATCGGAAACTGAACCAAAATATACTTTATATATGTTTTAGAAAAAGCATATCACTTATTACCTAATTTATTTTGTCAATTTTTTTTGAGTGGGGGATTCAAGAAAAACAGAGAGTTGATCAATAGAACCATTGGAAACAAGGACCAGGTGCGAAAAGACAAGGGACACGGGCCTGCAAAATAAGGTAAGCAGAAATTTCATCTGCATTGGAAATTTCTAAATTTTAACGTGTCCTGAGTCCTAGTAGTATCTTGTCCGTAAAATTAACCTTGTCCGTAAATTAAAAAAAAAAAAAAAATAGAAAATACTGGACATATATGAGAATAAGTAAGAATTGAAGAAAAAAGTGAAACGAGAAAAAGGAACAGAAGTTTAACAGGGTTAAACGTCTTTGGGTGTGGCAACCCCCACAGTACTCTGACGAGGGTCTGTATTAGCTGGGTTTGAGGCCCGGGGATTTGAGGACCCCCGAATTCTACAGAGAAAGAGTAGAACAAGAACAGGCAACGACACATCGTGTGAATGTTGGACTACTGAAAACTGAAACACAACGGCCTCACGTAGGCAGTTGCTGTATTAAGTGGACGGGAATCCAAATTACTGATTTATAAAGTTTTGGTGTCACGATTCAAGTTTACAGCTTGATTCGTCTGGACTGAGTACTCGGGACATAGCGTGCCATACCACTCAGTTGGCCAAAACTTAGACAGAAGAGAAAAAACAATAGAGTAACAAAATAACTGTGAGTTGTTCATGCCCTGAACGACAAGACCAGCAGAATAGAAAAGTCCTGTGAGTTCAAAA